CGTTGTGAGTATGGTTCAGACTTGGCATATGCACTTGTCCATACATACATATATATGTATGTATGCATGTCGGTAGTTATTTTGCCGGTTGTTGTTGTTTTTCTCAGTACTGCTCGTCGCCATATTTAAGTATTTCGGTTATTTATTGGCGTTGCAATGCTCTGTTATAACTGCATAAATATGTACTGTATATACATACGTACAAGTGGGTGTGTAGTTTGTATTTTATTTTTAGATTTCTTACTCTTCGAGCTTCAATCAATTTATTATCATTAGCGCTGCCGAATGAAGGAAACCACTTCTGCTGCCACGGCTGAGTTTCTCTTCATCTTAGCAATCTCCGCAGCATCTCCTTTATCATTTTGCTGGTTAATATTGTTCAAGATTTTTATTGGAAGCACCTTAATTAGCCATTGGTAATCAAATTTCGTGCATTATAAGCGCAAACAACTTATAAACAACAAAAATAAAAATAAAATCACTCGAATGTTAAAGAAAATCAAAAGAAGTTAAGTCAGTGAAGAGTCATTAATTACTTGCTGTCATTGGGTCGTGCTTTGATTTTTGGTAAAAATTAAGCTAAACACGCTGGTTAATATTCTATAATGGTTTTATGGAATTGGAAAACTTTTGAGCTTTATAGGGCTTTCGCACGAGGCGATTTTTCAGGCACCGTTTGAATGGCTAAAAATAGTTGCGATCCCGTACGAGTCCGGACTAGTCAGAAATAGTCAGAATCAGTCAGATTTTACTGGAAATCGATACCGTACTCGGTTCTCTGACTATTGAGAGGACAAAAAAAGATAGTAAATACGGTTCTCTCTCTGTCAGAAGTTACCAGTTTCAGTCCGAGAATTTTTTGCTGGTAAATTCTGGTAAATGTGTCAAACGATCAGCTGTAGTGTGTTTGGCAACCAAATTGTAAGCAAAAGAAAAGTGCACTCTGTTAATTCATGTTGAAAAGTATTTAATTACTTGTTTAAGTGGATTCTAATGAATTTGAAAGTGTTTTTGGTTATTTACATGTGTGAGCTGAGTGTGTTTAAATGCAAAATAAGCAAACATTTACAACCAAAATTTGGAGGTTATGTTGAAGTTGACAGAAGTTACCATTTTTCACTAGAAAGCGATCCCGTACTTTTCAATGTTACTCTCTCGCTCGGAGTGAATTTTTATTTTTTGACAGTTTTACTAGTCCGAGTCCGAGGAATACGGGATTGCACCTAATATCAAAATATAAAAAAATATAAAAATATTCGCCCTAAACAGGTTCAACTTTGCATTCTACTTTTGGTTGAACAGCCTTTCAACTAATCGCTCTCAACAAAGTTGTCGCCAGCACACATTTAGCCATTCAACTTTTTTTCGTGCAACCCTGCGTGAGTTGAACGCAAAATCGCCGCGTGCGAACACCTTTTTATTGTTTAACAAAATCGGGTAATAAATATCTTTTACCAATGAACTTGTCGTTTATAATTAGGCATACGAATTTCGATACGATACCATATCGATACTTTTAGTATTGATACCGATATATTCTACTCGATAGCTTTAAAACGGTATTTTTTATAATCGAGTACCAGAAACCTAGTACCGTATCGAATGTCATAAACTCACATAACGAGGATAATGTTATTACCAAATCTTGCCGATATAAATTGCGCTTTAAGTAGTGGATATTTGTACTATAGTTAAGATTGCATGTGGTGGGACTTGAACCCGCGGCGCTTCCACTTTATATTAGTATTTGGCCTAGCTTCTCCTCCGATTTGTCGCGTACGCCTTAATGTTATGGCACAAAGGGTATCCCTACAGTTTTATGTATTAATTGGTTCCCCGATATTTTTAAAGCTATACTTTCGATACTTTCGGTTCGATATCGTGTGCCTACTTATCATTATTTAAGAATATAAAGGAGAAACAAAGTGATTAAATTATTTGTCGTTGAAGAGTTGATACCTGCATACACATTTATATATTTATGTACCCGACTGTTGCGTCCTCGTTCGTGTAGTCTGGTCAAAGGGAGAAACCCAGGTGAGAGATACGGTAAATAATAGAAGATGACCCACGGGTTACGGCATAAAGATAGAGATATTCGGTAGGATCACTCGGACTTATTGAGCATTAACTCCACATTCTTTTCAGACCGTCTGAAACTACTTTTTCGTGGACAGGAAGGGGAAGAGAGAAGCAGTTTACTCCAGAAATTTCATACGCCGACAAATTGAGTATGACTACGGTCTGAAACACACATATAACGCACGTTTAATAATACAACGAAGTATTTCAAAATTTCAATTTTGTGGGAAAACACAATCAAAGTTTTATCAATTCATAAAGTTGGTATACAAAAAGATAGATTTGCACATATTTTCTAACATGCCACATCTACTTCAACTTCCATGAGACGGCGCACAAATTATGTGGAATATTTGTGGCTGGGCGGAAACTCCACTCCAAACACTACACAATATCAGCCAAATTTCCGCGAACGCTTCTACGGAAGGGAAGAATGATAAGGCTAAGGCCTAGGACAACCGAATGCCCCGAATCAGGTGCACCTCAGGTTAACCTTCGCCAGCTCAAAATAGTCGGTTGGACTTCGAGCATGATTTATGAAGAAATTAAGACTGTAACTTCTTCTCTCACATGAGCAAGGTATGGTCAACAGGAGGTGACTGTCCAATCAGACAAAGCGCGACGACAGAGTCGAAATCTCTTGGGGCGTTCGCGCCACGTCGGACCTGGAGCGATGCGCGAGCTATTTTACCAACACCTTGTGTGCGTCTTGTTTTTACCAGGGGTGAAGTTCGGATAACCTTCAGGAAGGCGAAGCCTCCAAAGCCATCGGACCGATGGGAGCAGACTACCTTACCAAGGTCCTTAACGTATGCATGCTCATGCTCATCATTCCGGATATCTGGAAAATGGGGAGGGTGGTCCCACTGCTCAAACCGGGGAAACCGTCCAACTTGGGAGTGTCTTATCGTCCGATGACTCTCCTTTCCCTGATAGTGAAGACACTTGAGGCTTTGCTACTCCCGCAGTATACGAACCACCTGACCCCAACGAGGCATTTGCATAGTTTCCGTAAAGTGCACAGTACAACAACTGCACTTAACGCCATTAACACTCAGATAACACATGGCCTTAACCGAAATCGCCCCTGTGAGAGAACATTCCAAGTAGCGTTGACACCGTCAGTCACTCCACGCTACTAGAAGACATTGATGCTTCCTCTCTCCCACAGGGACTTAAATGGTGGTCGGCGAATTATCTGAGTGGTCGACATTCGTCAGTCATTTTCTGAGACAAGACCAGCAAACCGAAAATTAAACAGGGGGTTGTTGTTGTTGTTGAAGCAGCATACAAATTCCCCAAAGACTTTTTGGGGAGTGTTGCTGGAGTGACAGTTCTTAGCCAGATATAAATCTGGGTCATATCGGTTACGTAGACCCGACTGTCGTGGGAACAGGGGGTCACACAGGATGGTGTCCTTTCCCCTCTGCTGTTTAATTTTTTCAGATGAAATCTCCATCAAGCACCAGAGGTAGTCGCGACTGTCTTTTGTGCTGACGATTGTTCGATAATGGCGTCTGGGAATTGATCTAGGGTTTGCGTCGCAGTGCAACATTTTCAACTTTCTTTTAATTTGTAGTAGTTTTTAATTATATCAGACAACTTATTTCATTTTGATTATACCTTATTTCAAAAGTCTGCTACGAAAACTCTACAATTATGCACATTACTGACTTTTGTTTTCGTCCCTAAAAGAAAAACGAGGTCCCAAAGACTCTCTTGTAATGAAAGGGTAAATGTTGCACAATATATTTTTTAAATTTGCAAAGTTCAAAACGTAAGCAACGTTTTTAAATAAATATGAAATGCAACCCTGTGTTTCATTTATTCAGCACATATTCAGCCACTGTACAGCTGTTGATGATAAACAGCTGATCAATTGAATTTGTTCGATAGTGTTGCGTACTCAAAAGTATTGGCCAAAAGTTATACCCCGGTATATTTTAACATAATAGCGTATATATAACAAAATTTAAATATATTTATTAGATTCGATTTAAAACAAATAAAATGTGATGTGATAAGATAGGTTAATAATTATTGTTAAATAGTAAATAGTGCAAAAATTTGATACAGTTGTACCTTGAGCTTTGTGTTTTACACCCGAAAATGGGAAATTTTCGAAAGTAAACAACACTGGCATTGTTTATGTTTTTTGTGATAATTCGCCGCGTGCTCATTTTTGCGCTAGTATTTCCAAATTTTATAATAAATAAATAAAAAAGCATTTTGTATTTTGCAAATTTAAAATGGCAAATGCTGAAACCAGTGAAGATGCTCACACTGCCACTATCAAGGAGTTAATAACATTTATGCATCCCACACAAAGGCTGGATTTGAAAGCGGTAGCATTGACACATGTGCTCTGTAGGTAAACATATTCCTTTTTCTATATCTAAAACTGACCTTTCGTTAACTAATAGCTTTGACTGGTTCTGAAGAGGGCAAGAAAGCCATCTTGACACTGGATGATGTGCTAGTAGCGCTTTTCAATCTCACAAACGATGACAATCATACCGTGGCCAAGGATGCCATATTGAGCCTTATCAATCTGTCTGCGGAAGGAGAGGGCGCTATACGAGTGTATGAAACTGCAAAGTCGCTTATTCCAGTACGAAGATACTTCTATATTTTTGCTTGACCCTACATATTCTATATTTAA